AATCTACATTGACATCTAAACGTTCCATTGTCATGTGAGGTATTAGTGTGAATGAGAGGTGCGTGGTTTAGTAGATAATACAGTAAACAGTAGATGTGGATGTATCTCGCTCGATCCCTATTCAGCTCTTCTGATTCCCGCTAGGCACTTCAGGTGGGGGAGTCGGTGTCTGTGCGTCAGCGGGTGGTGCATCTTGGAGCTTGAGTTCGGCTTCTATTCGTTCTCGCGCGCGGAACACTTTGGACTGTAGATAGTGCGAGTGTGAAGGTGGCGAGGCCTTTCCTCTCACGGGTTTCTCCGGTGGGGGCAGGGGAGAGTTCGCTTTGAAGAGATGCTCGTAATTCTGGCATCCCACAACGGTAAGCTGAAGATATAACCAAAAATAAGACTTCGTAGTACCTTCAGGACTTTTTCCAGCGACTCTTCACGTTTTACGTTTAGAATGAGGTTGGCCTCGTCAAGGGTCATCCGATGTTGTCGTGTTAATTGATCAGTTGGGGAACTGGATGAGGCGTTCCCAACTCCAGCAGCATCACCTCCAAGCGCATTTTGTGGTTGGTGTTTAGCATCTGTGAAACATTGTCCCGTGTTTAGTCAAAGTTGAAGCAAGAGCGTAGGCAGGAGTAACGAGAAGCACTTTTTACAGCTTGTCTGCCAGCTTCATAGAAAGCTTTACCCAGAATTCGGCTTCCAGTGATCAATATTTGGACTAGGACTTTTGGGGATGACTACGTTGGAAGACTGTCAGTAAATGTTGATTGAGTGCAGTCTTTTACATACCATTAGTGGATTATTCTATGATTTGCTAAAAAACGGACGACTGGGAAAGAGAGAAGATTGATCACGTGAGGATGTCCAAAAAATTTGGCACGCGTACACTTCTCAGTGTCCAAACGTAGAATCTAAGGCATGGAACGGTCCCATAAGAAGCGCAAGACAAGCACCGTTGCTGATGAGAAGACCTTGAAGAAGTCGAGGAAAGAGAAGGGAGCGATCAAAGACAAAAAGGAGAAGGGCAAGGCTCGCGACTCCACGGAATTTTATGTCGTCAGAACCTCTCTGGTGGTGTCAATTGCTCCGACATTTGCTGGGAATCCACGCGCAGGGATAGAGGAAATACTGGATTCTATGGTTATGAGGTGAGTGCGCTCACATAAATCGGCCTTGACTACAATGATGATTTCTGTTTGCTAGATATATACCGGCGCTTCGTGGCGTAGTGCTCTCACATTCAAATCTTAGTTTCCTATCCAAAACAGCCACAGTTCAAGGCGATTGTCCATTTCTCGTGTGCCCTATAGAATTCGATGCAACCATATGGAGCCCGCGCGTCGGCATGAAGCTCAGTATGTTCGCGGCCTTTTGTCTATATATCGAGACTTAATATCCAGTAGTGGGTAAAATCAGTCTTTCTTCGCCGGACCACGTTTCCTTATTACTGCATCGAACTTTCAATGTGTCAATACCACGGCATCATATACCAAAAGATGAATGGGAATTTGAATATGGACCAGCAGAAAATGACCCTGAATATGGGGCGGGTGCAAATACAGAGGACATAGAGGAAGGTTCGTCAGGAAGTGCAGAGGGAGATGAAGGCGGGAGGTGGGTACACCATCTAACGCGCACGAGTCTTGGGGATGCAGATGGATATTTGACCTTTACAGTCATAGGGTATGACATTTCGGATGATCGGGAGCCACAAATTGAATATATTCACAGACTAATGGTTGCGAATGAAATGTTGTCGCTGTTGGGATCCATCCAGTCAGATCCGTTCTCGCCAGAGCATGTACCTGAAAGCGGGACAGCAGCGGCGAAGACGAGTCCAACTGAATCAGAAGTTGAGAGAGCTGAGGTGCAGAGCGAGATACAGCCTGACGACGAAGATGAGAGCGATGACGATGAAGACACCTTCAAGACGCTCGGGAAGATGTCCGAGGATGCTGCAGCGCAAGAGAAGGCAAGGCGCTTGGCAGAGGAGGAAGCAGCATTGGCTGAAAAAGAGAAGAAGAGGAAACGCAAGGTGGAGAGGGCGGAGAGCAATAAACAGAAACGGATAAAGTAGTTGATATATTTTCTTTTGACCTGGTTCGTTCAAGTCCAACGCAAATGCACACCCTGAAAAGAATGCCGTGAAGTTACCCTTTTCTTCGGGAGAGTCGTTGTAAAAGAAAGTTCTCTGTGGTTGCAAGCTTGATGATCAAGTACGTCTAGATCTGTAGAACGACGAAAATCAAATCACTGAGAGGTCGGCACCTTAACCTCGCGTTCCGGGTCGGTTCTTTGAAAAAGGTCCTACCAGGGCTCGAACCTGGGTTTCGAGAAATACTGATAGATCAGAATCTCGAGTGATAACCACTACACTATAGAACCATTGAACACCCCAAAAACCCATAAACCATGGCACGGCCGCCCAGGTAATTCATGAGATCCCGTGTGCTTGATTTCCTGAACGTTCGACGTAAAGGCGGGTTCCAAGGGAAAGGAGCGTTTTCGGAGGCCTCTGCGCTACCTGCGTTGGGCCATCACCACCTGCGTTTCACTACGCGTGATCTCAAGCCGTTCTCGGCATGGTGCCACCGTCTGGCAGAAGCCGCGCCGAGGACAGTAGGGCCGGAGGTCTCACGCCTCACCTGTGTCGCTTTTCGCGCAGTCGTCGCAGCACAGGTGAGCGCTTAGTCGCTCTCTCACCACACAGCGTCTGCCACCCCGCTTGCAGAGTAGCTCTTTAAAATCATTATATTCTATTTCTTTTTTTTTTATTCTACCCTACTCTGCACGGTAAGACATGTCAGTTCAGCCCATTGATGAGTGACTCTCATCTCTCACCCGAGTTCATCAGTCTCAAGAAAGTTTTTAGGCTGAGCCGTCGTTAGAGCCGATTTCTCTAATGTAAGCCCGATTCGTCGGTGTCACGACAGTGGCTCGCTCACCCCCCATTGTTATTATTAGTCTCTTGTTCACAACTATCGTTTCTTTTCGCTGACCCTCCCACCTCACCCTTGATATTTTCTTCTACATAGTTTTCCACTTCTTTACATGCATTTTATCTATGTAGTCCTCAGCGTTTCAGCTGTCGCACTCAAAATTTATTCACGCGCATCACTACTTGAGGTAGCGATCCGGATTACGCTGTCTAATTTCCTTCCCTCGAACATCAGCAGCAGAGGCAAGAACGATTAGAATTAAATCACTGCGGGGTCGGGTCAGTTCTTTGAAAAAGGTCCTACCAGGGCTCGAACCTGGGTTTCGAGAAATACTGATAGATCAGAATCTCGAGTGATAACCACTACACTATAGAACCATTGAACATCCCCAACACTTCTACGACATTGCACGGCTGCCCAGGTAACTCTTGATACCTCGTGTGCTTGATTTCCTCAATGTCAATGACCACAAACCCGTCACACATCCTCATCGCGCGCAATTCAAGGGGTCCCAACAACCCTTCTGCGTCGCTCAGCTCTCCAACAGAAACTCACGCCGCTGCCTCTGGTATCTTCCGCTCATCTGGTTCCCCCCCATGGATTCTTCAGGAATGCGAGACTGATGACATCGTATCCGAGCTCAGCATGGGTGAGGACAACGAAGAGGCTATTGAAATTGATGAAGCTTTCACCAAGAACAGCCGCTTCCCAGGGACCGTAAAAATTGTTGTAGAAAATACTTCATTCTGGTCAGCATCATTGTATGCACCCCACTGATTTTCCGCCAATAATCATCGACAGGGCGCATAAAGAGGTCCTTTTCTTTGCATCCCCTTTCTTTGAGGCTGCGTTGAGTGGAAACTGGTCAGAGACTGGCCCAGGGCGGCCGCCCTCCATGTCAAGTGTAATCACTATATCACAGCCTCCGTCAGTTCCAGGAGATAGAACAAAACCAATGGCCGACATATCTACGGAAATGACCTTTGCTCCAATGGACCCGGACCTTGAATCTTCAGAACTCGATATCATTACAGAGCACGAAGCGTCTAGTCTTAGTGAAGTTGGAGATTCTCAAAACGCCTGTAGCTCAGAGTCGGACGTCAAGACACCTTTACCTGACCAGGTTGCGCGTGCACGAGACATCAGTCTTGCAAAGTTGCAGGGGTCAGATGAGAAGGATCAAGGGAGTCGCCAACGAAAGCGAGCCTCCATTGAACCACCCCGTCCTGAACGACCTCGACTCATGCATGGTCCTGATGCGGTTATAGTCCTTAAAGAAGAGCGCGTATGTCCGTCATGCAAGTTAACTTATATCTACTCATCATATCACAGGCCAGTACGTTTCACGATTTCCTTAAATTTGTTTATCCCCAGTATGTCCGCCAATCGTGTAAGTCGTCTCGATCGATTAAATGTTTAACAGCCTTGAATGTACTATAACTTGGAATAATGTTGAAAGCTTAATGAATATCTCGCACAAGTTGTGTGTGCCTCCGCTCCAGCGCGAATGCCTGACCTTCCTGCTGACACATGCCGCGGGTAAACCAATCAAAGCATTACGCATTGCAGAGCTCTTTGAAGAGGAAGAACTCTACCGTGAAGCTAGCCGGTTCGTCTTGGACAATCCTGGTGGCTGGCCGGATGAAGAAATGGCGACTCTTTCTCAGGAGACTTTACTCAAGCTCGAGAAACGGTGTGTATCCTATATTTCAATTTTCAGGTTGTCCCTAATTATCTCCTTCAGTCGTACCTGGTTCCTCGAACGTGTCCTGAAACTCGGTTTAACCATGATTGCGAAGGAATATCAATGTGTAAGTTCATACGGATCGAATGCCATTTATGCTTTATCAAAATTGTCTCTTAATAACAGTGCGTTACCTGTCCGGATCCCTTAGTGTGCGCGCGATTGCTTGAGGAGAAATGGAAACAAGCTTACTTTGCTGTTTTCCGCTTTGGTTAGTCTACTTCTATCATGATGGTAAATTCCCTCAAAAAGATGTGCTCTGACAGGCCCACCCCAACCATCTATGGTCTTTCGATATCTCCGCATGCTCGAAGGCGTTAGTCCTCCTTTATCACTAACCCAGACCGCCTGTCAGGCGAGTGCAAAAGCTTTTACCGCAACCTGTATGTCCATAGCAGCCGTGTTTCCCTATCTCAGCTAATACATAATTCAGTATTTGACCGAATGTTTTCGTTGGGTGTTCGTGGCAGTGGTGCAGATACTGCTCCGTTGGTCGGGCGCACGGCCGCAGCAGTAGCAGGCGCGGCCACTGGTCCAAGACGCCACTTTTTGTTCTGCAGTCTGAAATCAGACACGGCACCCAAGTTACGGCGCTCAAAGGAGGCTTTGTAGTTGATGAATGTAGTAGCTGTTTCATCATTTCGGCTTTTTCATTCATTAGCGTTCCGATTTCACTGTCAATATTCCCAATTCAAATATGAATTTATTGAATGCAGGCGATCATATGTGCAGTGCAGAGTAATACATCCAATCCGGAATTATGTGGGTAAATGGGTATAACGGAAGAGCTACTCAAACAATTTGAAGGATCCATGGAAGACGAAAGGTTAGGAGCTGTAAACACCTTATGTACGTAAATCGACATCGCTTAATAGGAATATCAAAGATGGGCAAAATAACAGTGAGGCATAGGAGAAAAAGTCTTGCAATACATCTGTGAGGGCTGCTATGCATTCCCTGGAGCCATGATGGAGGAAAATATCATAAGGTTATAAATAGGGAAGGATATAATTATGTGTGGTACCCGGGGTTGCCTTGCGCGTTGAATATCCGAGGGGCATTTTCTACAAGCCACTCAATAGTAATAACTTTACCAGCCATGTCGTTGAATTCTTGCGCCGCATCGCGGGGGCGCATCAGAGTAGCTGTCAGACGATCGAAATCATGATTCAATGGAGAGGAAGAAAACGTTAGAGCTCACGTCCAAAAACAACGCCAATGTTTCTTGCATTCATCTTATTGATATCCGCAAAGTCGCGCACGCTTTCAAACTACATAAGTAACCAGAGTAAGCGGGGCAAGAAGAAGACTTACCGGTGCAAGTGTAACATGAGCTTCCGTAACGTATAGTAGTGTATATCTGGGAGCCTGTTCACCAAATCCAATAATGTAGTATCTCGTGCAGCATCGTCCATGATCTTGACGGCTGCCATAAACTCATCGTGGAGATCAAAAGTGAGTAGTGGCACTGGCAGGGACCGGAAGTAGTTCTTGAGAACGGATGTTACACTACAGATATCGTTAAACCGATCTGAGTCCCGGAGGTCGAACGACAAATAGTCCCCGCGTTCGAATAGCTGCGTGATCGCCTTTGACTGTCCGGCACCGCCTGTTTTCCGATAGATGCCCTCGTACTCCAGTGCTGAAGATAAAAAAGCGACATTCAATATCTTCCAAAAGCCTCTTGTAGAGTAAACACACCGACGGCCTCCACTGCCTCTATACATTTTTCCACGATAACAGGTACCTGAGGATCTTCCCCTCGTGCATCCGCATGAGCCTGTTCAATAAGGTCACGACCGAACATCGAAGGTACTGATAAAAGAATTGTAAATGTGTCAGTGATGGAGGCAGTTGGGAGTAAGAACATACAAAGAGGGACGGATGGAAGATCTGAAGGTATGTTCAAGACTTGTTGGATGCAAGGCGTCTGCAGATGGTTAACGCATCGGACATGAATGGAAGTAGGACAGACTGGAAGTTTTCATATTAGCAATACTTCGCACGAAGGATGGGGAGGGAGCAAACCAGTGCAGCGCAACTGTGAACCCCACATCTTGTCTCCGCAGTGATCACACCGCGTGAATCGCAGGATGCTCAGCTGTTGAAAATTGTGCGGGATCGGGGCTATCTTTCTCTCCGCCACAGCCGCAGCCTGAGATGAAGTGAGTTCCTTCGGTCGTGAACCCCATTTCATATTCATGAACTTCGGCTTGGAAGACGTATGGTCCGACTCTGACTTTTGGATTTTCGGCAGGCGTAGGTCCATAGTCTCGTCGTGAAGCGTTGATGAGGTCGATGAGCTCAGGACATGAGAAACGAAGGCTGGTTGCGCCTGGTTTGTTTGCTGTGTTCGTTGATGATCTATAGAGTGTCCTCTTCCATGATCATGATAACCGTTAGAAGGATATGACTCAGGAACGGTTTCCATGCGACGAGAATAGGCCGCGCTCAATTGTGCAAGCTCCTCGTTACGAGCATTGAGAACCGTTGTTTCCTCAAGGAAAACATCTCGGACAGCTTTGAGCTCTGCAATTTCTCTTTGTAGGCTCTCCTTCTCCCTGGTCAGGGGCAAAAGATCTCGTTTGTACTGGTGCTTGATGCTTTCAAGACGTTTGGTCAGAGAACGGCCAAGATTGGAAGGAGGCATTTCGGATGATGCACTGGCAAGAAATTAATCGACTGAAATCAGCATGATGATGGGACAAACCTCTTAGTCGCCTCTAGTTCCTCAACTTCAGCCAAAGCCATATCGCGCTCTACCTTCAGATTCGAAAGGTCGAGCTCGAGACCAGATAGACTGTCGTGAAGCTCCTTTGACAACTGTTGTCTAAGTTTTTCCTTCCGGTTATCGCCAGACAACGCAGTTAGCTTTGCGACCTTGCCAGACAAAAGGACTCTGAGCCGTGTGACCTCGGCTTCAGCGTCTCTGCGGGCCTTTAGCTCTCGATCATACTCTGCCTGCGCAACTGTGAGCCCTTCAATGTATTGTTTGCTTGTCCTCTATCAAAATGACAATAAGCGAGATCTCAGTCATTGAATAAAGCGCACGAACCTTGACTCCATCGAATTTGTTCGTAAGCTGCAAATATTCCATTTTCTGCGCCTCTAGAGTTGTTAAAATCGCCTCTACAGATGCCCTTTCCATTTTGATATGCTGTGCTCCGCGATCCCGCGCGTCAACGACTGCTTCATTAAGTCGCACGATTACAAGATCAGCTCCATCTTCTGAAAGAGTTGTCGATGTTTTTGAATCAGGCTCTGTCAACGTAATGCACGTCTTCGTACTAGCCGAACGATTGAGAATTGAAGGAGATACTTCGACAGTGTTTTCTGACTTAGGCGCAGAGTGCCGGGGACGGGAAGCATGCAATGAATCTGACACGCTGGGCGAACTTGGATTGCCTGAGATATCCTGAACCTGTGAGGGCTGTGTTGGAAGAGGATCGTCGTCCCTGATCTCGGAAGGCACGTGACCATTACTCGATTGCGAAGGTAAATCATGTTGGGGCAGAGTTTGTTTCTCCAGAGCTTTAATAGTATCATCGTCAGCTTCATTCTCTTCCACTGTTGGAGGCAAGACTGGAACGCGGGGAGTCGGTGTAACAGCGTCAAAGTCGACAGTTTTTGGTG